GTCGAAGCAGACGTCCACGTGCTCAGCCAGAGCTCTCTCCACAATCCTGCTGCCCCGCTCGAAGAACGACAGGAAGTCTTCAGAGTGCAGGACCTGCAGCTTTTCTTCCTCCGTCAGCTCTTTGGGACCGTCTATGCACAAATAATTCAATATAGAGAACAAATACATTACCAGAAAAGATCTCGCTTACTGGTATCAAAATTCTGGATGGATAGAAATGTGTTAAAGTACTGGTAGGAGTAAGAAAATGAACAGTTGAGACTATTTCCTTACCGTCCTCCTGCCCTTCACCGTCATCTTTCTCCTCCTGGGCATCATCTGCTGTAGGAGGAGCAGTCATCTCCTCATCCTCTTCCTCATCTGACAACAGATGTTGGTTTTATTTCGTTTTTATTCAGTTTGAAATAGGCCAAGGTAAAACATTTGGATGTTTTTGTACCTGCTTTTTGATCAGAGTGTGTCAGTGCCTCAGTGGCTGTCTGTGTTTCTTTGCAGTACGACACCATTTCCTTCGGTGCAAAGTCCACCTGGGTCAGTTTGGACATGCCCAGCCTCACAGCTCCACGTCTACACACACATATCATGGAGGAAATAAGCACACGCATACACAGGTTTGCAAAATCAGGCCGATTTTGATGCAAATTGTACACGTAAAGACATAAATAATGATGCGCAGACATAATACAAACACATTGAGACAAATCTAAAATGAAACCACAAAAAATGTAATCAAGTTGGAAGACAAGCTAAAGGAGAGAGGAGGAGCAGTACCCCATGAGCTCAGAGTCGGAGTGCAGTTGCAGAGTAGAGGGGTCAGGATCCCAATGCAATGTCCTAATACAGCCAAACCACCAGACGGTGTTAGTAAGAGAAAGACAGGACAGACAGAAAGAAAAAAGGAAAACAGAGAGGATGAAACCAAACACAAAAGACAGGCAAAAGGAAAGCCAATACAAATGTGAGAGGTGAGAGAGGAGGAGAGACAGAGAGAGAAGGAGGGCGTGTTAATTTGAGAAACATCAGCGTGCCGGTGAAAAGGCAAAAAGGAGACAGGTCAGAAATCATTAAGTATTTTTAACATATCAATACACACACACAATTACCATGCAGGTACAACCTAAAAAAGTTACCTAACACAACCGATCCCCATCACTCTCTGTCACACACATACACAATACACACACACACATGCACAACACACACACACACCTTGGTCCTGCGTTTCCATCCCCAGAATCCTGGCTTCCTGCATCGCTGCCCACTGATTTGTTGGAGGGAGACATGGGGGCGGGGACTAGGTAGTGAAACAGACACGTATCCTCTGTTACTACCCTCAGGGGCTGAGCTGCGAGTGTGTGTGCATGGTAGTAAGTCAATGAATGAGTGAGTGAGGAAGTGAGTGAGGGACAAAGGGAGTGAGGCATGGAAGAGGTGCGTGAATGAGTGTGTGAGTTTGCATGCAGTAAGGAGGACAACACAAAAGGACAAAGGGGAGAGAAGAGAGAATGAAAATAAATGGCAGGCAGGTTTTTTAGGTGTCATGCACAAACAGTAAACGACACGTACAAATGTTCAGATGTTGTGTGAGGTGGGGAGAGGGGGGGGGGGGGGGGGGGGGGGGGGTGTGGCAGTGACAGAAAACCAAGCCAAACCACAAAGTTAGAGGTGACTTTTCTTATAAACACTGCGATTGCAAGCTGACACTCAGAAAACGATGGGACATAAGTGAGGGCGAAAGATAGAAGCGTGCAGGCGTCTCTCACCGTGGGAAATGTCCGGGGTGATGCCGACGCTCTGCAGCAGCATCTCCGCCTCCCTCCTCTTCCTCTCCAGGTCAGAGTCGTCATGGCCGCCCGCCTCCCCTCCACGCTTCGATTCTCCCTGCAGAGTACAGAACGAGCTGGAAAGTGAGCAGCAGGTCGTTCAGTGATCCATGAAATAAGAAGTGTTTACAGCACAGTTTCTACCACTTACATCCTTCTTTTTCTTCTCCTCTTCTTTTCTCTTCTTCTCCTCTCGAATTTGGGCGATCCGCTGCTTCTTCCTCTCCAGCTCAGCCTTCAGCTCACTCTTGTCAGACATGCTGCAGGAGAAAGAGACAAATTGTTGTTTTTTTTGTGCCATTTTTGTATACTTATTTGAGAGAGGACAATGTAGAAATGATAAGAGAGAGGGGCATGACTGCAGATGTATTTTAGAGCAGAAATGAATAGATGATAAATTGACTTTTCAATTGATTTAATATTTTAAAAAATGTTGATTTTTTGAGTGATTTTTAGGCAAATGCTATGTTTTCGGCTCCCATATCTTAAAAATGCAGTGATTTTCTTTCCCATACATAGTAGAGCTAAATATATTTGATTGATGTATGAAAAAAACTAAGAATTAAATTGTATAGACGAAACTATTAATAGATTAATTGAGACATTTGATGCAATTGTTTCTTAATCATCATTCTTAAAACTCCATTTGCTTTGACATTTAAATCAAGTACATAGAAGGACGTTTTGGATTGCTTCCATAAGGAACAACAGCTGATACAAATCATTTCAATTAGGTGGGTGCTTGAGTGAGAAAGATACATTATATACAGATGATGTGTAATTCATTAAACATAGCATCAGAATACCAGTTGCTACAGCATTCAGATGATTCTGATGTTTACAGCAGCAGATCTCAGTAGCCCTGGGCCGGTCATACCCATGACATGTGAACACCACCCAGCTGTTGATAACAATGTTCTCTCTATGTGCTTTCTCCATGATGACACAGCTCATCATTGATGACTGGGAGGGTGTATTAGTCAAAGAATTAGGCAAGATTATTATAAATCCACTTATAATTACCAAAAGTATATTAGTGTATTAACTTGACTCTTATCTTATAAACATATTCAAAGTCAGCTAGCAATAATCATCAGTGACCCATACAACCTTTTTGAGTTTTGTTCTCAATGTTCTTACACAGTTAATACAGCTAGCTAGGAACAAGGAAAACCAAACTGGATATACATTTAACGAATATATATCTACATATAAGAAGCAACACACGACCAACAATTAACACGACAAGTATGTGCATGTATTCATATTGTAAATACATTTTGAATAATGAATATTGACGATGACAGATCACAGTTCTTTAAAGCTATTTAAAAAATGTAGAATTTTTTTACTTTAGAATTATAATATATATTGGGAGGAGTGGATGTGTTGTTGTCAGAGTTAACAAGCAGTAATATGACATTACACAAGTAATGGTGGTTCTTTACACAATCATATCCTAATTCTATTATTAAAGATGTGTGTCCAGTGAAGATGGACAACAAAGATTCCATTGTGTCAATTTTATCTTTTATTTTTAATAATTAATTGTTTTTTTGTGTGAACGCTTTGTGTTAAGAAACCGTCCATCTCAGTCGAGTATTTGTCCAACATTTTATAATCTGATTAACGGCTGCAGTCACCATGGAGAGCTAACTGCTAGCGTGCTAATCTCCATGGCAGCCGGCGGGCCTACTGTCACAATAAGTGGAATATAACGGTAGCCTCGCGAACCAACGCCCGAGCCTTTCCGCTTCACCGTGCCGCTCACTGACCCGCAAAGAGCAAACACAGTTATGAATATATGATAAAATACCTGATATCAGATGTTAGATTTTAGCAGGCAGATGACAATATAATCCAATTTTGTGTTCGTTAATTCTGAAGAGAAGGGATGGTGGAAAGACTGATGATGCTGGAAGAGAGAGGGCAGCGGCGGCCTTCTTCTTCTGTGGTTGCGGAACAGAGCACAGTGTTACAGTGTTACCGCCTACTAGCGGCCACACTTATATTTCCCTGAACGATTCGTTCTTAACCATAGACTGTTCTTAACACTGTGGGTTTTGTTCACAGCTGTTAAACGGATACTGTTTGTTGCCTGCAGAGGTGGAAGAAGTATTCAGATCCTTTATTTAAGTACAAATTAATAATGCTACATACATGCTTACATACATTTTACTTTTTAGTTCTGTTTTATTTTTCTATTTTGATATGTTTCTATTTTATGTTTGTTTATGTCCTACTCTTTTTCATGTTAACATTATGTGCAATGCCTTGTTTGCTGGCTGCTGTGACACGCTTTTTATTATCAGTAAAGTATATCTAATCTAATCTGATCTAATTTTACGTTACAATTAAAAGTCCAGTATTACATTTTCAACAGTAGGATTGTGAAGTTCATTCATACAATTTGCAGGTGTCATGTTCTTTGCACAACAATTACAGAGAAACCGTTTTTGTCAAATTACTAGATCATGTTCATTTAATATATAATACAAATATCCGGCAAGTAAAAGCAAAATGAGAATCTGAGACATTAAATACTTAAAAATGATGCAGCTAAAATATACACATAAATAAAATGTATACATTTGTAGTAGAAGTAATGAATTAAAGCAGGAATGTTGTATGCAAATGTAGGTCTTAATCCATATTCAGAAGTGATTAAAGTATGCGTAAACAGTGTTAAAACGGTAAGTAAAGCTGGTGTCAGGATAATGGTAAAAAGATAGGAAGATTGAAGTTGATGTGTATCAAGAGAAAAATAGAAAAGAGAAGCATAGGGTAAGTATAAATACTGCAGAATGTCAGTCACATTAAAAAAAACGTATACTGGATTTGTAATACTGATATAAATCATATATTACATATGGATATCTGAAATGGAGCTGATTGTGTCTTACTGTATGGTTGTTAATATGTGGAAATTGCAGCAGGGAATTTGCAGATGTTCTTGTGAAAGTGCCATGCAAATACTACACAAAACACCACAATGAGATATAAAAACACACATATTTATTACCATAAGTCAATCATTTTGTATTATTATTTATTTTATTCATTCCATTATTTCCATACAAAAGCATTTTGTGCATATTTCATGAACACCCATACAAATTAACCATTGTATGGGTTAAACAGTATGTAGAAAAATGCACTTATTAACATACTGTTCAATAATATTTTACACATCTGTCCTGTGAAATTGTATTATTTGCATGATTTGAACTTAACCCTTTTTATCCACATATATTTGTTTTGGATTTGCTCACAGTCTTGCCTTGGTTTGGTTTGGCGATTTCATTGTGTACCCTGGATAGAAAACTATCATATCTTAAGCGCTTTGTTTTTACTCTGGTTCGGGAGCTGGTTCGGCATACAGGATGGGGTCATAAAGGTCACGCTTGAAATCATAGGGGTCAAAAGCAGGGGATTCCTCGGTGGCTGGAGCTTCAGGGATGGGTTCCTCGACTTTAGCTTCCTCCTTTGTCTCTGCTTTCTCTTCAACAGGTGCCGCTGCGACTGTTTCCTGGATCGGGCGGGGAGGGTGATCGATGAGGCAGTCAGGGTCCCAGTACGGATCGCAGTCATACTCCATACCTTTAACAGTGACCTCAGGAGTAGGGGGAGGCGAGACAACCTTTTTGGGAGTAGGGGGAGGTGGGGGTGGTTTGGCAGGAGCAGCAGCTTTTATCTCTGCCACTGTTATGGGCCTGCAGGCGGGGTTAGCTCGTGGGTCGCACAGTACTGGAACAGCCCCCGTTGGCAGGTAGACGATCGCAGGATTGCACAGGGGGTCTTTGGGGTTACACAGATAGATTGTCGGAGCATTCTCCAGAGGGTCTGGTGTTGGACCAGAGGTAGTGGGGGGTAGGGGAGGCAGAGTGGTAGTAGTTGGTGGTGCCGTGGTGGTCAGCACACCCATGACACTTTGGTAACTGGAGGCATCTGGGCCGTAGGTCAGCTCCAAGTGACGCATCTGCTGATACAGCATCCGGATCCTGTCGATCTCATACAGCTGAACACAGAAACATATGAGATTTTTGGTTAAATACTGTAACACAAGTAGTCCCACCACCACTACCATAATCATTTACAATCAATCCTACTTACTCCTTCAGTGTGTCCAATGCTGTTGTAGAAGCGGTAGTAGGACTGGAAATCAGGAGTGCCTTTGTACCACTTTGGCTCAACGTTCCTCTTTGGGTGAGAGTTAGTCAGGAAATCATGTGCCTGGGCAGAGTCAATGTTAACATTACCTATGGAAAAACACAGATTCAGGAATTAAATGTGGAAATAGTTTTTGTTTAATCAATATCTATATTTATTTTGTATTTATCTAAGGGTCAGCAGAGGCATTTTAATTCCTTAACTGTTAGTATAAGTATTAATCTATAAATACTACAAACTCAACTCACTTTTTTAATAGTTTACAAGTTAAGAATTTATGAAGAAAGTTAGTTTTAGTTATAATATCACTGAAATCACAGTGCTCTTTAATGTATTACATTTCTGTCTTGAAATATCTTAACTTTAGTACAGGTACTACTCAGCTCTTAAGATCATTGAATTATAAGTTAAAATTGTGATACGAACCTTTGCAAGAAAATACCTTATTCACTATAACATATTATATATGTCTATGAATACTTTCTAATTAACCATATGACCTTTATGATAGCATTACAATCTGAAATAAAGTAACACATTAAATACCTTCAGGGTTCTTTAATTTCATCAGAGATGTTGCTTCTAGCAAACCTGGAGAGAGTAGAGAATATATTAGACACCCCAAACTCAGTACTTCCCTCTGCAAGACGTTACACAGCAACCAAAGGAGAAATTATTCAAGAAGTCAAGGTCAGATGAAAGTAGAATGATTTCATGCACAAACCTGGCATTAACAACACGTAGCATAGCGCCCTCAACGAGGACACCTGGGAAATCATCCTCAGCATCTGCAGTTGAAATGTCATCCAAAAACATTATTTTACATTCAGTCTTCCATCACTGCTATAATACACGTCTATTTCATAAGTATAAGCAGATACATGCATATTGAAAGCACAACAAATGTTGAAAATAAAACGAGAAAATATGCAAGGACACTTAACGTTATCAACAATTATGAAGATACCCTGCTGGCAAAATAGAAAACCCGATTCCAATTTTTTTGTATTTAAGTAACTAACTAGTATCTTTCAAACATTTGGCAGGGGCAATGTGCACAAAAAGCATAAAATGCGAAGCAAATGCTACTTCGTCTTACTTTTAAACTTGACCTATAAGACTGAGAAAGAAAAAGTAACGTAGGCTACTCACCTGATGGTGCATCTCCCCAGTCCAGTTCTCATGTGCTGCACAACATAACTGTTCATAAGTACTGCTCTTAATACTGGGGCCTTTCCATTGGCCACTGAGCTGCAAGTTAGCCTAACTCCACCCTCATGCCGTTTCTGTTGAGACGTGGAAGATCTCATTAGTACACTGAGTGTGCACCAGCAGTAAAAGACCAACTTCAAACAAAATGGGTCTCCTTGTAAAGCCACAGGAAATGGTCCTGCAACAACAGGGCACCTATGGGTGCCCAAGCAGTCCAGTTTCTCAGCTTTCTTTCTATGGGGTCATAGTCGTGGATGAAACCATCAGTGGATGTTCATAAAAAACAATACATCTTCCTAAATCTATAGCTGCCAAACACCCAAACAATATTTTTGTTTTATGGCCAAAATATGCAAATCATAGCGACATGCACCCCTCTTACTGTAGCCTAATTCTTGACAAAACATGCCTGGAAGGTAAAAATTAACCCTCTGTCCAAAACAGCTGGATATGTCCTTTTAACTTGCTGTTGGCCAGTCAAAAAATAGAGGGTGAGCCAAGTTACCTGCTGTTTAAGTCCCCAAGAAATATGCAAGAATGACGGGCTAGCTTCGTTCAAACACCACTGTAACGCAACCTGGGAAATTGTTGTTTAGGGACTTCAAACGAGCACTTTTATTAGTTTCCGCATTGATACACAAAATTCTGAATGCCTAAATAGAAAATACACATACATGCACAACAAAGGTTAAGAATATTATTATTATCATGTACTATTTGGTTAAATATTTAGAACATATAAAACATTTTTGGGTTATTTTGCACTTGTTTTTAACTCTTTGTCCGTCCCGTCTCAATTGGGAACATAATGTTAAGAAACAAATTATATTTTTTAAATGTTTACTTAAGGACAGAAGTGTGGATTCAGTTGTCAAACTATGCAAGTGATAACAAATAATGTGGCCATGTGATATAAAAAACCCCACATTTAATATTTCTTAAAGCACTTTGGGATTTGAAGTCAAATATGAAGTGCTTTATAAATGAAACCCATTATTATTATTATTATTATTAAAGTCTGAACGGGCTACATTTAGTGAAGACTTATGGTAGTAAACAGTGTTGTATAACCCATTAGAGTCAAATGCTATGTGTAAGTGTGTTTGTTTTGGCCTTCCCACCGGCTACAAAATGCCATGGAGTGTCATGACATGGAGTCAGACCAAACACCTCCCTCAGAGCAGCCACATACTTGTTTTTAGCTGGCTTCAATGCATTTATTGGTTATCTTTTGACTATCCACATGTTCCTCGGGGCTCACCTGCCTGCTCAGTGTTTTTCATTTCAACAGTGAAGCTAATTCTATCCTTCAAACCAGCAGGCAAGGCTGCGATCAAAGAGAGCAAGAAGGAGACAGGGAGTCTATGTGGGCTTTGCCAGGTGGCTAATGGTGAACATCATCTGGTAATTGCTCTGCACGCAAAAATGTGAGGGTCAGGGTACCTGTTACTTTTAAATGATATACATTTATTTTACCTGTACGCTGGGACAAACAACCGGCTAACAAAATAAATCAACTTATTTTACAGAAGGCTTTAGAAGGGCAAACATAAAATGCCCCTATAGGAATCTGATACTATCTTTTCAATTTTTGCAGGCTTGTCAGACTTACACTTTTATATTATGTCTATATATTGGCTGTATTTAATCATTACATTAAGCCACTACTTGTCAATGGATAAGAGCACATCTGGATTTGTATTGTTGTAGCTTGAAAATTGTGGAGATAAAAATCACCAAATAATAAACATCATACTGCAATATCTCTAAATGTTAACCATAAATGTTACAAAGCATTTACAATGTTCCATACCCTTCATTCCATTGCCATGCTTGGGCCATATTTCAACTATGCATGTTCAAGGTGCTGCTCCATATTCCTGTTGTTAACCATGCTACATTGCAGGTATTTTGGATTCAACTTTCTCTCTTGCTTGCTGAAGAAGAAAATATGCAGGTCTGGAGTCAACTGAGCGGAAAACAAAGTTGTCAGTTACGGCTAGCCCTAAATTGGTCCTTTCTTGGACCACAAGATTAAGTAATGGAATCAGCCTAAGCTAAGCCTCATGTCAACACCACTCTTCGTCAGTGGTGGAAGAAGTATTCAGATTCTTAACTTAAATAAAAGTATTAACAACCCCCTCCCCACATACACAAACACACCCATCTAGCACCAGACACTTTTCTACTACACTGCTATGGACAGTCCTTTACACTACTGTACATATTTGTAGTGTTCTAATATATTCATCCTCATCCGTTTTGAAGTGAATGTTATTTTGTAAATGTTGACGGTTGTGCCTTTTATTTATGCCTCTTAATTTGTGCATATGCATATGTGTGTCTATGTTTGATAATGTATATATATATATATATATATATATATATATATATATGAAAATGGTTGTACAGGTATGAATGAATGTATATCAATCAATGTTTATTTATATAGCCCAATATCACAAATGTTACATTTGTCTCAGTGGACTTCACAGTTTGTACAAAAATATCAGTATGATAATACGACACCCTCTGTCCTTAGACCCTCACATCGTACAAGGAAAAACTTCCGGAGAAAACCCACAGTTTAAAGGGAAAATGGGAGAAACCTCAGGGAGAGCAACAGAGGAGGGATCCCTCTCCCAGGACGGACAGACGTGCAATGTATATATACACATATGTATATGTATATTTTTTTATATATTTTTATCTTTACTCCTCGGGATTGTGAGAAACAGTATCTTGATCTCCCCGTCTGCCTCATAAACAGAAGATTGACAATAAAGTTGACTTTGACTGTGAAAATATTCCAAGTAAAATTCTGGCATACAAAACCATACTTAGAGATATAAAACTAGACAAATTCAGCTTAACTGAAAGCTGTAATAGTATTAATAAGAAACAAAGCACATTTGGTTCTTTCACACCATGACACAATTCCATCAGATTAATCATAAAAACCTAGAGGACATTATACAACTTCTGAAATCCTCCTCCTGCTGCCTTGATATTATTCCAACAGGATTTTTCAAAGATGTTTTGCCTTGCATGGCCTCAGATCTACTTCATATAGTAAACAAATCTCTTCACTCAGGTATTTTTCCACAGGCCCTGAAAACTGCAGTCATTAAACCGCTCTTAAAAAAGAATAATCTAGATGCTTCAGTAATGAACAATTACAGGCCCATATCAAACCTCCCATTTCTAGGTAAAATCATTGAAAAAGTTGTTTTTCAACAGTTGAGTAATTTCTTTCATTTAAATAACTGTTTCGATGTGTTCCAGTCAGGCTTTCGTCCAAACCACAGCACTGAGACTGCTCTTGTAAAGGTCTTTAATGACATCCACTTAAACACAGACAGTGGCAGAACCTCAGTGTTAGTATTATTAGATCTCAGTGCTGCGTTTGACACTGTTGACCACAACATATTACTAGACCGACTGGAAAACTGGGTGGGACTTTCGGAAACAGTTCTAAATTGGTTTGAATCCTACTTAAAGGACAGAAACAACTTTGTTTCTATAGGTAAATACACATCTGAGTTGACAAATATGACATGTGGGGTTCCTCAAGGCTCCATCTTGGGGCCTCTTCTCTTTAACATCTACATGCTACCACTGGCTCAGATAATGAAAAACAACAAAATAAGTTACCATAGCTATGCAGATGACACACATTTACGTAACAATTTCACCAGGAGACTATGCTCCAATTCAAACACTGAGTAAGTGCATTGAACAAATCAATGACTGGATGTGTCAGAACTTTCTCCAATTAAACAAAGATAAAACTGAGGTAATGGTTTTTGGAGCCAAGGCAGAACGTATAAAAGTTAGCGCTGAGCTTCAGTGTGCAATGTTCAAAACAACAGATAAAGCCAGAAATCTAGGTGTAGTCATGGACTCTGACCTGAGTTTCAACAGTCACATTAAAACAGTTACTAAATCAGCCTACTATCACCTAAAGAATATATCTAGGATTAAAAGACTAATGTCACAGCAGGATTTGGAAAAACTTGTCCATGCTTTTATCTTCAGTAGACTCGACGACTGCAATGGTGTCTTCACAGGTCTCACTAAAAAATCTATTAGGAAGCTGCAGCTGATTCAGAACGCCTGCTTGAGTCCTCACCAGTGTTGGGACTAACGCGTTACAAGTAACGCGTGTTTGTGTTGTTTACTGGCCAGACTGGGAGTGGATACAGGACCGTCCTGTACACAACGCCAAATGGCTATATACAGGACCGTCCTGTACACAACGCCAAATGACTATATACAGGAGCGTCCTATACACAACCCTCTGAAATGGCTATATACAGGACGGTCCTGTATATAAGGTCTCTGAAATGGCTATATACAGGACGGTCCTGTATATAGGGTCTCTGAAATGGCTATATACAGGACGGTCCTGTATATAGCTATTTCAGAGACCTTATATACAGGACCGTCCTGTATATAGCCATTTCAGGGCTTCTGTGCAGGACCGTCCTGTATATAGCCATTTCAGAGAGCTGTGTACAGGACGGCCCTGTATAGCCATTTGGCGTTGTGTACAGGACCGTCCTGTATATAGCCTCGGCCAACAAGACTATCATGGCGGCGGCGGAGCTCAAGTCTAGTTTCTCCACCTGGAGATATTCTCACTATTTCACTTTTGTCGAGCACAAAGAAAAGAACGTTTTAGTTAAATGTAAGTTGTGTCTTGGCGGGTCAAAGATCCTATCTACTGCCCAAACCAGTAATTCAAATCTCTTAAAACATCTGCAAAAACAACATGCTGGGACGAAGCTAGTAGCTAAGACCACAGAGACTCAGCCGACGCCACTCCACCTCCACCTAAGCAACAGCGGCTGGATTTTAACCAAGGGACTGCTAGCCAGGGAAAAGTCGATAAAGCCATTGCACGGTATGTTGTAGAACACATGCAGGCTATTGCTACAGTGGAGTCACCCGCTTTCAGGGAGCTAGTTAGCATGATAGCAAGTCGGCACACGGCATATGGGACGGAAAACTTTTTCCAACTACCTGGAGAAAGAATATACAAAAATGGAAAGCCAGCTAATATCGATGCAATCCAGATTGCATATAATGCATGTCAAATTGATCAACAGATTGTATTATTCTCCAATGCAATAACAGTACTGAAATGAAGGCTATAAGGGCATTAATGGGAGCCCTTGTTTCAAGTAACGTAAACGTTACTTTTCACAGTAACGCATTACTTTTGGGTGTAAGTAACTAGTAAAGTAACTGAGTTACTTTTGACATTAAGTAACTAGTAATGGTAACTAGTTACTGGTTTTCAGTAACTAGCACAACACTGGTCCTCACTAACAATAAGAAAGTGGATCACATCACTCCTGTTCTGAAGTCTTTACACTGGCTTCCTGTGTGTCAAAGAATAGATTTCAAAAATACTGCTGCTGGTTTATAAAGCACTGAATGGTTTAGGCCCAAAATACATTTCTGACCTCCTGCTAAATTATTAACCATCCAGATCTCTCAGGTCTTCAGGGACTGGTCAGCTTTCTGTCCCCAGAGTCAGAACTAAACATGGTAAAGCAGAGTTCAGTTATTATGCTCCAAATATCTGGAACAAACTCCCAGAAACCTGCAGGTCCGCTGCAACTCTGACTACTTTTAAATCCAGGCTGAAGACTTTTCTTTTTGTCGCTGCTTTTAATTGAACTATTCATATCTTAGACTGCACTGTAACTTTTATCCATGTACTTTTTCTTTTAATGTTTAATTGAACTATTCATATCTTAGACTGCACTGTAACTTTTATCCATGTATTTTTTCTTTTAATGTTTATTTTATTAGCTTTTCTTTTTAATGACTGATTTTAGATGCCATTTTCTTAATGTCTTTCATTTTTTGTAAAGCACTTTGAAGATATTTGAAGAATATTTGTGATGATGTGTGCTGCCCCCAAGTGGCTTACTTGTTGCAGGTTTCAAATCAGCTGAATATACAACCTTGTAGTAAATAGCAGTATCAGGGGAAGTTCAGTGGACAAAGGTAAAGCTAATATCACATTAGCTGTTACATGAATTATCAAAGAAGAGAACCTAAAGGGGATATACAGATATAGATTTGGGGGGATTTAACTGTTTCCAGAGTCAGAGACTAATGTTGAGCGTCAGTGGTGGGAAAAGTACTCAGATCTTGTATTTAAGTAAAAGCACCATAGTGTAGGAATACTCTGTTACAAGCAAAAGTCCTGCAATCATAGTGTGACTCAAGAAAAATTAGAAAAATTATTAGCATACAAAAATACTACATTATGCAGTTCAGCCCATTTCAGAATAATATATAATACGTTTTGATTTTAAATATTGATGCATTAAAGTGTTATCAAAGCTGGTAAAGGTGTGGCTAGTTATAATTACTTTGTATACTGCAGGGTAGCTTGTGAATTTACTCCAGGTGTTACTAAATTCGAATTTAAGTATTTTATATATCATTAATCCAAATCTGCAAAGTAACTAAAGGTCCTAATTAAAAGTATTGGAGTAAAAGAACACTGAATTGTAGTGGAGTAGAAGTACAAAGTAGCATAAAATGGAAATTATCAAGTAAAGTACAAGTCCCTCAAAATTGTACTTAAGTACAGTACTTGAGTAAAAATACTTACTTCCCTGGTCTGTTGAGTGTAAAGGGATCACAATCAAAATCATTATCAAATGGGCATGCAGGTATTTAGTGAAACTGTGCAGTTGTTGATGCTTTATCTGACTGAAGGCCCGCAGTGTCAGACTTTTAAAAACATTATGAATGTTTCTTATGTAGAACAGATTTTTTTTTTAATACTGGTGTGTGTTCAAAACTATAATTAATTGACTGCCAATCTAATGCACAACACTCCAGTTCAGCAGGTGGCGCTAATGTGCGACATATTTGGTTGCCAACCGGCAATATACCTGAAGCAAAGAAGAAGTTCCTGGGTTGTTGACCTGTCAGCGTTGTAGTGCAAGCTGTCACTGGCACTGCTGATAACTTGTATGACTCTGTCCAACCGGTAACGTTAGATGCAGTTTTTGCCTGCAACACAGCGAGTTCCGGGGCGTTGAATTGACAGATTTATCGTACTTCCCGTTGTTGCTGGGGTCAGCTAACCGGCGAGCTAACGGCTAAAGTTAGCTCACAGTCGAATCAGCTTAACAGCTAGCTTGCTAGCTAGCATTCGACGGTAGATAGCCAGATAGCCGCGTCAGCTAGCTTTTTTGCAGTTAGCTAGCTAGTCTGCTGGCAGTAGGAGTCTAGGAAGCCGCCCACTCCTGCTAGCAGCATTCCGGACTAAAGCGTACACAAGTAAGTAAGCAGAAACCTTAACAAGATGTTTAACGTTAGCTAATATTGCTATCTGGGTTTACTTAGCATATTGATTTTAAGGATTTTTGCCAGAGGAGAAAGCGTCCAGTAAGCCAGTGTTTGACAGTTGAGCTGCACAAACTGTGTGGCCAGTCAACTTGTATGTCAGCTGTTTTAGTCACTGATGTAAACTGTGTCATTAGTCTAACAATGCATACTGTGTATTATGCTAACTCGAATACGTTTTGGCATGCCTGTATGACGTTATCCAAGCGACATATTAAACTAAGTAGGAAAGCAGACAAGGGGAACATTGTGTGAAATACAGCTGAAGCCTGTGTCTGGGAACTATCAGGCCTAAGAGCGAAATGGGCCCTTGATTTCTGAATTTTAACTCCACCAAAAGCACGATAACATAATAATAGTGACTTTTTAATGGATCTCCCAGTCCACAATGTCAAAAGAAAATAGGTTAAAAATGATTTTGATCATCGATTAATCAATTGAGTATTTTATAAAGCTACATGTAAAAACATTTCTGGTTCCAACTTCCAACTAGAAGCTGGTCCAAGGATTTGCATGGTTGCAAACATAATTTGTGGGGGTTTTAGTCTGTTGCTCGATCTATATGAGCATTTTAAAAACTTCATCTGGGGCTCTGGGTAATTCTGACAAGCAGCTTCACTATTTCTATATTTCTGTTGAATTACTGGAGACATTATTTAACATTTTCATCTGTAATGCCAATTGTGTTAGTAACATCCCTGAATGAACTTCAAGCTACACTGAATGGCAACCTAATTAATTGCATTGTCATACTAAGGTTGCAGGGGCTATCATTGACCTCTGCTGCAAAGAAAAATCACTGCACTGTGCTTTGGTTGCTCTCTTATTATAGCAGCCTGTTTCAGTTATGTTGACACTTGCTGTTCATGTAAATCTCCTTCGAAAGTGTGTGAAAGTCCTGCAGGCTTCTCGCTCTCCGGGCTCAGCTGTTGCCAAGATAAAGAGGCAGACGCTTGTTGTGCAAGAGCCCTGTGTGGGATCAGGTAGCTGTATAAGATCTAATAAGATCATGCACAGCCACGTCTATCACACATTTCACTGAGTCACACTTTCCTAACTGACCCTATGGTTCAGCCAAGGGTTGTGGAGCAAGTTAAAGGGATAGTGCAGGTTTTAAAAGTCGGTGTGTATGAGGGTCGTGTCTATAGTATTGCCTACATTAGATGGCGGTTAACTTGCCCCCAGCTTAGAGAAGCATTTAAACGTGCACACATGGAAGCTAAGCAACCTTTCCTGTGGGCAGGGGCAGCACCAAAACAGATTTTAGCCACCTAAAAACAATGATATAAGTCTAAGTGTGCGTTATATATTTTCGTCCAGTCAGCAATTTGCATGTTCTGTCAGGTAAAATGAAGCTTTTTGTCAAAGGAATGGTGGCTTTAAAGAGAATCTAAATAGCTTCAGTTCCCTTATCTTCAGTGCCGGTGCTCCTGACTCTGGATAATAAATCTCACGCAACCCCCGCAAACAAATCCGACCTATCCCTTTAAAGAAGTGATGAGGCGAGACACTGAATGGGTCCCTCCCTTTAATGAGCTGAGGCTTTATTTATGCTTGCTTGATGGAATGAGTGGAATGTTGCAGAGCCCACAGGGTCTCTGGTGTTAGGACATCAGCAGAGTTTCTATTGTTTCACTCAATAAGACGTACAGGGTGGATGTCACATTATCTTCGTGGCTGGGATCTCTGAAGGTATTTCCATCTCGGTTTTAGCTATAGAAAAACAGGTCCTAGTTCTGTTATAGCAGGACAGCTATGGGCTCATTTAAGAGACTTACTTACACTCGGCTAGGTTTCTTTATCTTCTGGTTTCAGCTTCTTTAATGTGGGAAGTGACTGCTTTTACCTCTGGGTTTTCATGTGTTGTATTGAAGTTTACCTACTGTTTCCTGTTTTTTATTCAGCTAACAATTCAAGGAATAATTGAAAAATGTATCTTAAGCAATAGGTTTTACTTATTTTTTTCCAGGCCTATTTTATAATATCTACAGATAACCAGGATGTTGATCTCTTTGAAATCTTTTACTCTGTCTTATCGCAAGCCTTTTTTTTACCTTCTATGCCACTTTTGCTGTAACATTGTAAATGTCCCCGCTGCGGGACTGATAAAGGAAAATATATACTTTTTAAATACTTCATAAGGAAATTCACCCATCTGTTTTTTATATGGACAATTTAATTCACCTGAAATCAGTCAACATCTGATACGAAAGTTGGCACACTTGGGGTGGTGAAGCAGGGCTGGATCTTCTCATGTCAAAGTCAACATTTGACTGATTCTCTATCACCCTTGATTTGTGTAAATAAGAGGATCGGGATAGCAGCAGGCATGGTTTATTATCTGTATGTTTCAGAACAAAATGTTGAAACAGGTGGCGGTTTTTTTTTGAATTCCAGTTGACCTTCCTATGTGACACTCCGCTTGTTTTATCCAATGCTTCCTGGTGGTTGATCAAGCCGAGGCACACACTGAGTTCTCCCTCTGTTACTGGGTCAAGGTTGACTCCGTATTTGTCATCGGCCATTAATCACTGGTCCTGAATGCTATATATAATGCCTACTATATTTATATATGATTGAGTTCCTGTCCAGCATGTGGAAACATTATCCTGAGTAAAACTGCAGCGTCTGCATCTCGAAGGTGTCAAAGCAGCACGGCGCGTGTTAAGTAAGCTCTGATTCAATTGCGTTTGTCTTGACATTTGACACAGATGGAGGCCCAAAGCTCCAGCGACATGCTGCTGTCCAGAAAGAGGAGGAGAGAGAGCTCCACCCGGGACACAGAGGAGGCGGAGAGGCTTGTGAAAGTCCCCAGATGTACTGTGGTGAGTCAGCTGTGTTCTTCGGCTGTCATTGAGCAGCGTGTTGTCCAGCAGTTTCTATTGGCTCTGTGTGGCCAACTATGACGGTCTCTCTCTCTCAATATATATATGTGTCTGTATGCATAGCTCAACTTACTAGAAGAACGTTGAAAAATGAAATTCACATTCAGTATATTAAAACATTCTTACTGTATCTGCTATGTGTGGCCTGTGTCACACGTTCTATAACACTAACAGCATTTATTCCCAAATGAAATTGTTCCAGGAAAGGATATTACAAAAATCATTACGCGATCATTTTCCTTATACCAACAAGGGAAGAGAAAATTAATCACCAAGGTGTCTTGTTATAATTTTTGTGTGAATAAATAATAAAGTTACTTAATCGCTGACATATTCCACTCATTTTGATTCGGGTCTTTTAGGGATTGAAGCACCCTGCGCCTTTTGCAGATGAGCTGGAGCCAGTGACTAAAAAGCCCTACGTGAGGGTCAACATGGAGGAGGCGAAGAGGGGGACACATCGTGAGTCTTATTCCTCAGTCTGTCGGTTAATATGTCTACTTATTGCCTCCTGATCCTTTGACCTTTTCCCCCCAATATCAGTACACAACCTCTCAATATTGAATATAGTCATACCAGTGGCGAGCCGTGACTCTTAAGTCCCGGACACACCAATCTGACAACAAAGAACTGACACAGACGGACCCCGACTGTTGCGTCGCCTCGCGTCTCTGCGTTTTGGCCATGTGTCGCACTGGAACACACCGCAAAGACTTCAGCCGACGGCCAAAAAGCACGTACGAACTGCGCATGCGTGAGTGGCAATAACTCTCCTTACCAGCAGGCGTACAGCAGGCGTAGTGTGTACTCGTCATTCAAAAGAGGCAACAACCGGAAGACAGACTGCGTGATAACCGAGAGAAGAAGAACAGACAGCGTGATATAAACAAACAACAAATAGCGTGTGCGTTCCATTTTCACTCTACAACGAGAAGCTCATGGGGCTTTCCCGAACCTGTGTCGAGTTTGTTTGGGTCCCTCACTTCCGTTCTCTTCTCATGCACTGATTCGCTAGCTGAACAGCCAATCAGAGTGATTTATTTTGACGAGTTTTTTTTCGGCCGAAAAGGCGTAGGCCCGGCTGAAAAGCCCAGACGGTGCGGGACACACCAATTTGAGTAGGGCGTGTCGACGCTCATCGTCGGCCTGACGCTCACCGACGCCGATAATCGGCCTGGTGTGTCTGTGCCTTTATACCTAGGCCCTCTGAACCATCTTCCCTCGAAAAAAAAGAAGAGTTATTACGTCACAGCGTATACTTCAGTGGAATATCAAAACAACGGCCCGGGGTGCAAAACGCATCAATGACAGCGACCCTCTACCACACAGAACAACACCATTTATATAAACACCTATCATGACAGGGCACCCACAGCCAAGTAACATGAATTAAGTCGGCACGGCGGCCCACATTGAAAATGACTTAGCGGACCTTTGATGATCAAATCACTTAAACACAAAGTCCATCCTCCTGTCCTTTTGGATGAAGCACTTGATGGCGGGGTCATGCAGCTGATCCTTTGCCACTCCAGTTTATCATTGTAACTCAATCTTGAAAATGACTCTGTTAATAATTTCGCAACGATGTCCTCACTATCACGGAAGTGAGCCATCATGAACGAACTTATGCTAATCATTAATCTATCGATTAGATTTATGATTCGAAAATAATAAAAGTAGGGTAGACATGTGGATATTATCCGGCTGAACAACACGTGCATTTATCTAACAGGTTCGTTTTCCACAGACCTTATTTCAAGCTGTCTTCCAAAATCCTATGGAGAAATCCCGTTGCTTTCTGTCGAGGGAATCCGAGCGCAGCTTACTTCCGGGTTTTAGGACGCGTCACTGCACGACTTGCATAGACCTCACAGCGGGCGGAACTTGTCATAAAGTCCGCGAAAATAAAGCCCACCCATTTAGAGGGAAGATATGATTGGTCAATTGTACTGTCATTTGACATTACTCTCTCGTTGAGCTACTGTAGCGGGCCCTCTGTGAATTTACAGCAGGACCACAAATCAGCTCCTATCTTCACAGTAACTCGCAGAGACGACCAAAGGAGCTTCTTTCATGTAACCCTTCACATTCCAACAGAAACTGAACAGGCAGATTCGAAGGATTTATTTCATCGGACATTTTATTTTAAATACAATTAAATCAAGTTATTTTGGTAAAACTAATGAAAAATATAACAAAAAAAATATTTTAAATGTTTTCAAATATTATTTTTTAGAATATCTTAGGCCCTCAGAGAGGGTCTAGAGGGCCCTGACGGCTCGCCACTGAGTCATACATATAAAAAGTGCTTTATCCCTCCGTACAGAATAATAACTCTTGCATCGCTTGTCTCTGTCCAGCTGACAGACCGGTGCGGGTGTATGCAGATGGTATCTTCGATGTTTTCCACTCAGGCCACGCCAGAGCACTCATGCAGGCTAAGTGCCTCTTCCCCAACACACACCTCATCGTAGGAGGTAAGTCTTCGTCTGTGAATAAGTGTGTCCATTCAGGCTTTCACAGCAGCAGACCTTTTATTAGCTGCTTCTTTGTGTGTGAAACAACAAAAAAACAGGAAAACTATTGAGACAGTTCCAGTTCAGTCTGACAAAGCCAGGAAAAGATAAACTGATAATTAATAATGCAAGAGAAGGAACATTAACTGATACATTATGAGATATTACTAAATGTTGCTAGGTCTATTTGTGATGATCGAATCATGGTTAAGGACATTTCCAACAATAATTTCTATGTCTCTTTCTCTTCAAAGTGTGCAGTGATGACCTGACCCACACATACAAGGGCTTCACAGTGATGAATGAGGATGAGCGATACGATGCCATCAGTCACTGCCGCTACGTGGATGAAGTGGTGCGGAACGCTCCCTGGACGCTGACGCCGGAGTTCCTGGCGAAACATCGCGTGAGTGGATGAAACAGAGGAACATCAAGACAAAACAACACATTTACAGAATGGTTTATTGGTTGGTTTATACATCAAACATCTTTAGTTGAGAGATTGAGAATGAGTTGGCAAGCCACCATTCTGATCCTCTGTAACTTCTCCCTCCCATTTCTTTGTGTGTCCGTACACTTTGTAGACTGCTGTGTTGATGTGTGTTGTAATGACTCCTCCAGATTGACTTTGTGGCCCACGACGACATCCCATACTCCTCTGCAGGCAGTGATGATGTGTACAAACACATCAAAGAAGCTGGTGAGTGGAAAGAAACCATTTGTGGTAGCATGTCATTACTGTAAGACACAGTTCACTACTTTTACTGTGTTACTGTTGTCTAATAAAATGGATCATGGATTAGTGGAAACTAGTGCAGCATAAAGTCATTAACTAGTGTCGCTGGAATACCATATAGAGGTGTAGTAATACCTTGCTGTTAAATACCACATTTTATTAATACTGGTACTTTAGTGTGTGTGTGTGTGTGTGTGTGTGTGTGTGTGTGTGTGTGTTTGTTGCCAACTAGACAGCAAACTCTTAATTGCTCCAACATTGTTAACTACAGCGCAGCCTCAGAGCCATATTTGTGTTCACAGCGTCACTGCCTCAGAGGAAACTGAAATTCCCTCAGATCATTCCACTGAGAGGAACAGAATAGACCCCTGCAGGGATTTAACCCGAGAAATGTGAAGGTGTTAGGATCTGATCCTTATTAATAGTTTAGATAAAAGAATATATATATAAACACTATGGTACAATAATTCACTCCTGTGGTTCTGTGGCTTCTTTTCACTTTCTCCACTGCCCTGCATTGACGAAAAATCTGAATTTGAAGTCCCTTGTTCTCTCATCTATTATTCCTGATTATTCAGCATCGATATATTATAGGCAGGTTATGTAATCATTGGTATAGTGACAACACTGTATGCAGTAATAAGAACACAGATCCATGCTTTCAGACACATACAGTAACGCGTATAAGGCAGGGGTGTCAAACTCAATTTCATCGCGTGCCACATTAGCATTAAGGTTGCACTCAAAGGGCCGGTTGTAACTTTAAGACTATGCATTTATAAATATATAATATATATATATATATATATATATATATATAAAATAATGTATTATATTACATTATTGCCTCTGCATTGAATTATTATCAGATAGGGTAATAACTTCATAATAAACTACGTATGAAAGCAGAAGTCTAGGGCAAATAATTGCAAGTATCTTCAGTGGGCATGTCACAAAATGAGATGCATTGTGGGACATGTAGTTTATGGACGACGTGCTTCTGTAACGGCTTGAAGCTTGCCGGCGGGCGTGTCTGAAACTCGACCAACAACCAATCACATGAATCTCCCGCCCCTGACACACCAGCAGCGGTTTGATTGGCTAGAGCTTGTACTGGCATACGATTCGATTGGCTGACGCTTCTGCCGAGGCTTCAAAAGTTGAACATTGCTCAATTTTTGCAGCGAGCAACGCCAGCAACGCTCCGCGTCGCTTCCCACAATGCAGTTCGGCGAAAAGTGACGTCACCCCATTCAAAGTGAATGATGAAGCGTCAACGCACGCCGCTGTGTGGACGGGCCGTAAAGCGGCATGTAACCGTATAATAAACGTATTATATCCTTTGCACGCTCTTGCGGGCCACATAGGGCCTTGAGTTTGACACCCCTGATATAAGGGGAAGGCTAATTCCTACATCTGTATCTGGTGAGTGCTGACCTTCTCCCCCCTCCACAGGGATGTTCGCTCCCACCCAGCGGACAGAGGGCATCTCCACCTCTGACATCATCACACGCATAGTGCGAGACTACGACGTGTACGTGAGACGCAACCTGCAGCGAGGATACACGGCGAAGGAGCTCAACGTCAGCTTCATCAACGTACGACAGCTAGCTTCAGTTCAGTCATAAGTAATTAGTCATTTGCATCTTTCTTTTTTGATCTAACCTTTGCTGTCCCACCCATCATCAGGAGAAGAAGTACCACCTGCAGGAGCGCGTGGACAAAGTGAAGAGGAAGGTGCGTGACGTGGAGGAGAAGAGCAAAGAGTTTGTCCAGAAGGTGGAGGAGAAGAGCATCGACCTGATCCAGAAGTGGGAGGAGAAATCCAGAGAATTCATCGGCAACTTCCTGCAGATGTTCGGCCCCGAGGGCGCTCTGGTGAGGATGTTGGTTCAGTCTCTAATCGTTGTTTAACCAGGCAGCAACACATCCTTCTTCACACCGTCACACTGGTCACTGCTGCTCTGCCTGGGACATCTAGTAGAAATGTAATGACGGTCACCTCGGTTACACACATGTAATAACATACCAAAGAGCACCTCATCCTTTTGCTACTTAATAATAGTAAATACACATTTCAGAAAGCATTCATTATTTCAGTAAATGTATTGGACTTCTTTTCATTTACTGTCCATTTTAAAATGGCATACACATGTCCATAACCTTAAAAGCTTTGGTATGCTTACAGAACCTGCTACTATTCTATTCAGACTTGTGTTACATCATACACTTCAATTCGATTAAATGGAATGCCACTAACCCAACATTTAAGAAGGGTTGGTTCACTCCAATTGTATTCCTACATTCAAATAGTTAGCACTATGATTCATTTTGTACAATTGTAAACAGGAAAACCCAAAAGCCCATTTAACAGTTAGAAACAAGTCAGGGAAGAGGAGAGGTGAATATTGCTACTTTGCATGTCAACTTTTGTATACATTATTTTAACAAGTATGAACCCAAGAATTCATAATGCGTTTCTGTCCCCAAAGATGTCTGTGACGTCCATTTGTTTTACTCAGAGATGGAGTATACTGGAATCCTGGACTCGGACTCGAGTGCCGATTTTCGGGATTCGTGACTCGACTCGGACTCGCGCACTGATTGACGCGACTTGGACTCGTGAATTCTCGCATACGATGACTCGGACTCGTGAATTTTCCCCCCCACGATGACTCGGACTCGAGCAAGTTTTCTCTGGAGTCTGATGTCCTCTATCCTGGCGGACTGGGCCCCGCTATTCCAGTCTAAACAATGTCTAGAGATACACCCCGCATCGTGCTGTATGCTTTCACACATTCTGCTTCCACATTGGAAAACAGCAGCGCAAAATGCTCGTTATGTGGAAACAATATTGAAGAGAGAAAGCTCCGTAACACATTACTCTAAGGATCGAGTTCAGACATATAGGCTGTCTTGAACACTATCATCAGAGTAACGTGATCTAATCAATAAATAAAGATTCAGCATAACACGAAAGCACATGGCTACTTAGCATGCAGAATGTCATTTTGCATGCTAAGTAGCCATGTGCTTTCTGGGGCTAAATCTTTATCAGTAAACCGATTTAACCGGTAAAAGTTCCTTCAAAATAAGAGTCCCGATCTTATTACTATCAAAATAAAAGTGCAAAACGAAAACTTTAAGGAAAATATTGGCATACAAATATAATCACTTCTCTAACTCATTTTAAATATAGTTAGACATATTAAAGGTAATTTACAATAATAATAATATTAGTAATAAGCTTTATATTTGTATAGCACCTATTACAAGAATTGTAGCCAAACTCGCTTCACAGCAGTTCAATAGACAGATTAGTATGACAGGATAAAAGCAATGTAGAGGAGCAGCTACATTTCAACACATATATCCACAAAGATGAATACATGAAGACTTGTGACTCGGCCTTCACTTGGACTCTTCTTAGGTGACTCGGACTTGAACACAGGTAATTCGGACTCGACTCGGACACTCCTTGGGTGACTTGGACTCGAAGAGTGGTGACTTGACTACAACACTGGTTTTACTATATATTTTTTCTTTGTAGTTTAGAAAGACAGACGGCCACATTAGCGTGCATTAAGACGGGAAAACAGCTAGAGTGGTGAATAAAATGTTGCTGAATGAAATAGGACAAACTAAACGGTAAAGCCTCAGAACCGCTCTCTGACTGTTTGAAGCACAGTTTGTAATCCTGAATCCATCCCATCCACATGTTTCAGACCTCCTAACGTCTCTCCCCCCCCCCCCCCCACAGAAGCACATGCTGAAGGAGGGGAAGGGTCGCATGCTGCAGGCCATCAGCCCGAGGCAGAGCCCCAACAGCTCCCCCTCCCGAGAGGAGCGCTCCCCCTCTCCCACCTTCCGCCTCCCCTTCTTCACCAAGACCTCCCCTCCTCCCTCGCCTCCCCCCCACCACAGCGGCGCCCGCGGATACCTCGTCAGCGAGGACGACGATGACGAAGACGACGAGAGCTAGAGCACACCTGGATCCATCGCTGTCGCCGGGGGTTACCGTCAGACGCAAAGGCTGTCGACTCACATGGTTTTCATCGAGCTCCTGCTTCCATTTTTTTTCTGTTTATGATTTTTACATTTTTAGCACTTCAGTGTAACCATACTAGCAAGTTCCTCCACAGCTTTTGTTTTAAAACAGACATTGTTATCCTCTTTGTTTCTGTGTATTGGTCAGTAAACTGTACCACTAGTTATTCACGTTCTTTGAATATTAGTTTGATTTATCTCCGTCACTTTTCATGTTGAGTTAATCAGTCTCTCACCAGCACTTAGGGATATTTTCAGGGGTGCACTCTTCCATATACTGACGGGTTCTTAAAGGTTGGCGTTGTGAAGTAGAGGTTTGTGTTTTCGTCATGGCTTTAGCGGGAGGTATGCTTTCGGTATTTTGCTGGAGTGGCACGTGTAGTTTGTTGTGGGAGCGGTGAACTGAGATGTTTAAACGTCTCCTGGAAGTCTTTCAGAGCAGGTCAGGAAACTGGACAATTGAATGATGTGGGGCAGTTTATACTCTGCTCATACTAACAAGAACATGACTTTAAACTAACAGGAAAACTCCAGATGATGTCAGATCTGAACCTGGGAGTGGAGTTTCACTAAACAGCAGCTTTGCAAGTTTGTCTGCGTGTATGTGCATGTGATGTTTCTGAGTGCAAGTCGGCATGTTTGCACGCCTGTTGACAGATCTGGGTTCAGCTTTGACTTTTACTGCATACAGTAATACCTTTTGCTTTTATGACAAGAATCAGTCTTTGGAAGACTAGTTTTAAACTGGACGCCTTTCTCGCAACGACGACCCATTTAAATGTCGATGTAGAAATACTTATTTTTGTAGATTTCATCCGTCTTTATCCTCTGTCCAGATAATAAGCTTAATAATTTCTGTTTAGAAGCGCTTTCACAGTTTGAGCCAGGCTGGAGTTATGTTATGGTTTGCTTTGTTTGACTGCATCCCCTGGGCCTGTAGGGAGGTAATCATTCAAATTGGATACACACAATAGAAAGTTATCAGAACTGTCTCAATTCCTTACTTCTCTTGATGGATACGATCTGAGGTTAGTTGGAGTTAGAAGCACACTTTTATGATTAAGGCTTTTTTATGAGTCACACACGGCAAAATATAAAACTGTCTTAAACATTGAGCTTTTTCCACTAATCTGCGGGACTTCTGCTGGTGTTGAGGGTTCGGGATCCTGTACTCAAAACTCCCGATCAACGTTTATGTAGCTACCTCCTTCTGCCCTGAACTGATTTAGTTTCCTGAGATGAGCACAAAGTTTGAACATTGTTTTTTGTTCTGAGCCGTTTGCCGCACTGAAGCAAGGTGACCGAGTCCTTCCGGCCTGGGTGTGCTTTTCCTTCATTAATGCGTGTGTTGTCTCCTATATAACTGAAATATGAAACATCACAGCTGATCTGAAGATGTAATGCAATACTGTGAGATGACTAATATAAATGTTGGCAGATGTCAGATTGATCTGTGCTAGGCTTGGTTTCCCAAAAATAACTTACAATGAAATCAATCTTCGCTGCAGCCTCTATTCTTCAGGGTGTGATTCAGATTTCAACGTTGGAAAAATAACTCTTGATTCCCATCGCTATTAATTCCTACTTTTTGGAATATAGAGCAAATCCAGCTGTAATTTGTGCTAAGCTACTTTTGGGAACCCTCGCCTCGATTCTTGTGGAATCTGTTCCTTTAAATCTGTGTGAACTTAGTCAGCATGTCCGGGAGTCAGGTGGCAAAAAGACTTAAGGGCAAGCCGATAACTGTCACTACTGCTTGATACAAATGTAAATGTTTTAAACCGCAGTTTAATCATGTATCATTTTACTTTTTGTTTTTAGTCCTGGATGTAGAGGAAAGGCGAGACAGGAAAAGTGTATTAAACATGTTGGCCAAAGCATTTCTGGACTGAGACGTTTCTTTTTGTTGTGGGTTGTGAGCCAATAGCATCCGACTTAAAAGATGTGTATATATTATTTTCAAAAGAATCAACAATAGTTTACATATTTTATTTTTCAATACTAAATCAGTCACTTCTTTCCTACCAAATCTGTTTAAACATGATTTAATACATGTTGAAAATCTTTCACATATCAAAACAGGCTATATCAAATGGACGTTGTAAACGTGTCTTGAGGACAAATTGAACCTCTACAATACAACTTTAAATAATTGTAGCCCAACATTAACACGGAAAGGAAGCAGAGTTGGTTACATAGTCAGATTTTATTGGACAGAACGGTCACCAGGGCTACAAACATGAAGAGGCAGACAGTGACGAGGAGGACCACCAAGGGGAGACCTCACCCCGCTGCGCACACACACTGATTTCCCCCAAACACATATTTGAATCAAACCAGTGTGACAAAGTAGATCTCAGGACGTTGGGGTCACAGACTAGCTCATCGGGATGATGTTCAGACCGCAAAACTGGAATGATCCCTTTTTCTTTAATGTTGCTCACTAGTATTGGAAAAATAGCAAGGGGGAAAAAAAACAATACACTCTCCAGAAAGTACAAAAACAGTTCAGCCACTATCAATTCATTGTCTTTTTGAAACATCCCTAAGAGACTTTGAAATGAGACTTTTGATCCAAATTGACTAAATAACACAGATCAATATCAATCAGTCCACAATACACAATCAGTCAATGCATCTGGACCTTAAAGGGTAGACTCTACTGAGACAGAAGTTCATATCCAGGGACTATCGGGACTCATTTAAACCACAACAGCTACCAATCATCTTACCGGGGATTCCCTCTAGGACTTCTAAAGTAACTGGAGAGTAGATGGTGGAATAAACACAAGTGAGGGACACCCAGAGGTGCCTCAGTCCCCTCCCCCTGGTCCCCACCTCATCACGTCTTGTTTCGGACACCAGTTGGTTTACAGGTTTTTACTCACCACTACAAGATATATACGGTACAATGGTTCACATTTTGCATATATCTGTGCAGTATATCATTTACTTCTCTTTTTTTCATACGATGTCAATTCAATCTCCAACACCTAGTTAGGAAGGGGTGAGAAGGTGGGGGTGGTGCATGAGAGGAGGAGCTATAAGGATTGTAGGGAGGGGCAGGAGAAAAAAATCTTTAACAGGATGTAGGGTGGGTGGGGTGGTAGCAGTGGTCAGTTCACTGCCGGGGGGGGGTTTTAGCAGCGGGTTTCGTAGATGCCGGAACGGCCGATGTAGCGCACCCATTTGATGACGTCGTGGTCACTGTAGTTGAGCTTGGACTCGAACACCTTCAAGTAGCGCACCTTCAGACCAGAGGGAGCGAAGGGAACCTGCAGGACCAGAAGAGGGAGGTTAGGAAGACGCATCGGGGCATGCTGGGAGATGTAGGCCACACGGGTTGTTACTGTGGCTGTGAGGATTAAGCAGGAAGTGTGTATGAGGTAACAGTAATTCCATGTTTGGTTGCCAACGCTGTCCACAGTTCAGCTACGCAACAAGATAGCTCATATTGAAAATCAGGGAGCAAATTAGTTCCTAGTTTATGGATGCGATTCGGGATTATCATATCATTGATTGTTTGGCCTTTAAAACTTTTGAAAATTATGAAAAATCTCTTTCAGCAGAGCACTAAATGTCAACTCTAAATATATTGAGTTTACCGTCATGAGTAATAAAGAACAATATTCACATTTAGGAAGCTGAGAAACAGAGAATTTTAACTTATTTATTCCTCGCAAGATTACAAAAATCTATCAAAAATAGTTGCCGAAGCATACACTAAAGCTCTGCAAGTTATTGGGAAGACGTGTAACGAATGACTTCAGTATCAGATTTACAAACTATATGTAACGGAGAGGAAGACTGTAAAAACGATTTATGTGTTCTGACCTCAAAGTTCATAGAGATGGGAGGCCTGGCCCATTTCTTCTTATCGTTGGTCGGCAGCAGCTCGATCTCAGCACTGATCTGAGACTCCTTCATCCCAGCCATGCGTTTGATCCTACACACACACACATACACACGATTAGTGTACAGATCTCAGCAACAAGGAACCCCATTTTGAAACCCTCACAAGAGTAAATAAGTACAACAGTTGTGCAAAGTGAATAGGACTGTCCGAGTGGTTAAACAAGCAAACGGCACAGAGCAGCTGTGAATCATTAACCTGACGGAGCATAAAACAGCGTTAGGTTGTATCTCGTGGATTTATGGTCAGAGGGACTACTCACTTCCAGACAATGGCGTTCTCGCTGGCCTTGTACTTCGCTTTTCCCTTCATACAAATCACCTGCACGCCGCTGGTGTTGAGGGGCGTGGGGATACGCACCTGAGGAGGTTATAATAAGGAGAGATAAACATTTAAAGGAGACATGTCATGCTTTTCCGGTTATTACCCGTCCCCTTGTGTGTTATGAAGGTTTTAATGCATGTAAACGGTCTGCAGAGTCAAAAACCCTCAAAGTACATCCTGTAAAACTCTAACACAGAAAATACCTCCCCAAAACGCCTCGTTGGAGATTTCTCATTTACTTCCTGGGTACTCTGACAATGGGGATACCCAGTAGCCACGCCCAGAGCTATGGCCGCACCCTCTGCCAGCCTTTCACGAAACAAAGCTTCCCAAAACCTTTCAGCGATTCATGCCGGATATGTACAGCGTAGGGCACTGAAGAACGATACGTCATATTTATTATGCTACACAAACATTATATTGCAGTTTTGGAGTCGTCAACTCTGTTATCTAATATCCATCTATGATTATTTTTAGTATTTTCGATCTTTCCAATCCAGACAAGAGATCTCTCTCTCCCCGTCTGTGTGCGAGGGGGCGGGGCCACACACACAGACGAGAGATCACTCTCTCCCCGTCTGTGTGCGAGGACACACACACACACACACACACACACACACACACACACACGTTTGGACCAGCGGGAGATTCGGGTACACAACCTGTAAGTATTCATTGTTGTTTGTGTATTTATGATGTTTGAAACAAACAAGGTATCTACCACGACTGTTTAAATGGGTAAACGTTTTTCGGACTACTACGTTGGGATGGCGGAGAAATGCTCTCCGCAGACCCATTCTCACAGCGTTATAAACCTTTTTCTTTCTCAATATCAAGCCACACTTATTGTTTTTACTTCGGCTGTGAGTGTTTGTGTGTGCTCAGGATGAATTTCGCTTGTTCTAGCTGTATCGCCAAGCCTGTCTGCTACTGCAGCAGTGTGTGTGTGTGTGTGTGTGTGTGCGAGCAGCAACGACCCTGTCAGCTTCTCGACCAATCAGAGCACACTGGGCTCACAGGGAGGGGGGGCAGGAGCTCGAACAAGGCGTTTAGGACAGAGAGTGAATACACATACTTTACAGAGATGCTGTGAGAAACCAATGTGAGTTTGGAAAATTGCACAATATAAATCTATTTTAGTAGACCTCAACAGTGGAAATTGGACCTGTGTTTGATAGGGTTAGTGTTTATCAGCACGTGACTTTGATAAGAGCTCACCTCGATCTTTTGGGCCAGCAGCGAGGGTTTGAAGTTGGACTTGATGACCACCTTAACCTCCAGTTTAGTGCGGCCGACCTCCCTAACCAGAGGAATAACTCGGAACGGCAGGATGATGTCTTTCGTGGTGCGATACCTGCCAGAAGAGGGGAGAACATTGGATAATGTAACAAAAGCAAGGATTTCCTCAAGTTCTTTCAGTGTTCATTAATGCCTGCCGTTCATTTCTCCAAACAACAAATATTGAAAGACAGAAGGCACCATGTATGCTTTCAATAAGGTTTCTCACTCGTGCCCATTAGACAGCCTGATAACAGAAGGGTTTAAAGATATTCCAATCCACTGACCTCATGAGCTCGTACTCTCCATCGGGGGGGATGAAGCTGATGCTACGCTCCGAGTCGAACTTACTGAGGCGCACACACTGGTGGAAGGTGCAGTCGTCGATGGCTATGGACTGCTTCCCGCTGCTGCAAGACAAAAACACATCAGAGACACACAAAGAGACACAAGGAGACACAAGGACATTAGTTCACTTGTTTTAAATGATTTAATCAAAATGTATGAAACTACTTCTCTCCCTAAATTGATATCAATAGTGAGAACACCATGAGCAGAACAACAAGGACAGAGAAGATAACTGCTAGTATCAGGACATGAAGACCTGGTGGTTAATGACACTTTAGAGCAATAAAACACCACGGACCCAGTTAGATGTACGGTGGGGTAATACATACACCAACTATTGCAAAGAATAGGGACAGAGCCAGCATGTCCACCAAATACTTAACATGGAGTGTTTGATTTGTATTGAGTGCATGAGACGATTCTTAGGCCCAATTCCAATCCACACACTACCCCTACCCACACACTACCCCTACCCACACACTACCCCTACACACCCACACACACTACCCCTACACACCCACACACACTACCCCTACACACCCACACACTACCCCTCCACACACACTACCCCTACACACACACTACCCCTACACACACACACACACTACCCCTACACACACACACTACCCCATCACACACACACACTACCCCTCCACACACACTACCCCTACACACACACACACACTACACACTACCCCTACACACACACACTACCCCTACGTTCGCGCGCAGGGTCCGCCACATTAAGTGCTGTTCCAAACCAAAGAGTGTGGAGGGTGAGTGGGCTATCAAGCCCTCAAACAGCGAGTCTGCATCGGTGCTGACTTGACGGGCTGCCCTACCCGACCGGACTCAACGCTGTGTGTCCGTCAGGAAACACGCTGTTTACAAACATCCACTGATAAACTGCGATGTTAACAACCTCATGATGACCTCATATGTTTTTAACTTGGGACCATAGCTGTGTTTAGTCATACCTGTGCATTTTATTATAAAGTTGTGTATATTTACAGACTG